GGACCAGAAGTCCACCCCAGCCCCTCCTCCCTGGACCAGGAGTCCACCCCGGCCCTCCTCCCTGCCTTCCTCCTGGACCAGGAGTCCACCCCGGCTCCTCCTTCCCGAACCAGGAGTCCACCCTGACCCTCCTCCCCAGACCAGGAATCCACCCCAGCCCCTCCTCCCCAGACCAGGAGTCCACCCCGGCCCTTCTCCACAGAACAGGAATCCACCCCGGCCCCTCCTCCCAGACCAGGAGTCCACCCCAGCCCTCCTCCCCGGGCCAGGAGTCCACCCCGGCCCCTCCTTTCCCCAGACCCAGGAGTCCACCCCGGCCCTCCTCCCTGGACCAGAAATCTCCTTCCCTGGCCCTCCTGCCCGGACCAGAAGTCTAGCCCTGGCCCCTCTTCCCTCAGACCCAGGAGTCGAGCCCTAGTCTCTCCACCCTGGACCTGGGAGATCAAAGCCTGCTCCCCTCACCTCTTCTCTTCATCAGTGGAGATGGTATGTCTGTCGGGAGAAGGAAGAAGTTTGTGATAAACATGCTAAGTTAGGGGTCCCTGTCCACCGCACATATCCCAGTCTCCTGCCCCCTGGGGTGGGGAGGGAAAGGAGAGCCAGAGAAGGGAAATGCTTAGGGACCATGACAAAGAGGACCCTGCTGGCCACGGACGAGACTGGACACTGCGATGTCAGGAAGAGAAGAGCCAGGGCCAGGTGGGTTAGAATGCCAGGCCAGGACAAAGGCCCACAGGCTAAGAGATGAACCCTGAACCTGCAGAAGGAAACTGCCACCTGGGACTGGAACACACCCGAGGGCAGAGCCCCTGCAGGCCACTCACTGCATCTCCTCCAGGTAGGCCAGCAGTCGCTCGGCCACCAGCCGCTCCCGGGCCTCGTAGCTGGTTCGGTCCCGGCTGACCCAAGCCTCCAGCTGGGACAGCTCCTGCTCCCATGGTGTCATGCCCATGAGTCGCTTGGAGCGGAAGTCCTCCAGCTGCCGGCTCACGGCCGCCTGCAGGCTCTGCACCACCTCCTGCACGTACCGCCGCTGGACATCCTCGGAGATGAGCTCGGGCCGCGTGCGGTCTGCAGAACACACACGGGAGCTGGGGCCAGCGCGCCTGGACCACAGTCCCCACCCACCCTTGGATGCCGATGGTCACGCTTCCTAGGGCTCCCACGGCCAAGAAAGAGCCCTAGGAAGTATCAGCCATTCAGGGGGAACACAGGTAAGGCCTTCCTCCCTGGGACCTCCGGGGAGGCGGGGCGTGCTAGAGACCTCCTCTTCTCACCAAGTTCAAAGGCAACGTTGGAAGGGACTTGCACCCGTAGAACCTGTTCAGGAGAGAGACCGCAGTGAGTGGAGGACTCAGGTGCTGAGGCTGTAGCCAGCAGGCCAGGTGGGAAGGGTGACTAAGAGGTGCCCTGGGAAAGGCCTGGGTTGGAGCCACTCCAAGCTGCCCGCAGCTGGGTGGAACTTGGAAAGCATACTGTGGCTCTCCAGGGCCAAGGGGGGAGAACAGGGGCCCCTTGAAGGTGTCTCTCACCGCTGTCTTCTCCAGGAAGCTGTGGTAGAAGTCGAGGAAGGCCTTCTTGGCCTCCTTGGGGCCCAGTGAGGCCAGCATGTCGGCGTGCAGGCAGCAGAGCTGGGGGAGACATGGCATGACGTTTCCTCCCCCTTCCCAAGCCACACTCCCCTTTGGAAAGCCTAAGGGGCTCCCCTTCTCTTGGCCACCCCTGTGGCTATGGGAGCCAATCCCACTTCCTCTGGGAAGTGCTCCCTACTCTCCACCCCCAGCTCCCAGGCCCTCACCTCCCTGGCAGCCTTCCCTGGGCCAGCGTGGGTGTTTCCTAATGTTCTATCCTATGATATGGTTCTCTGGCTCCACGTCCTCCCTGCAACAGCTATTACTACCATCTATACCGAGGGCTTAGCAAATACCAGACCTAGTTCTCAGCCCTTTTTACCTGCAGGACCTGCTCAATCACAGGGACTGTCATTCTCCTAGATTTTTATTTTTACGAATTATTTTATTTAACTTTATTTATTTGCTTTAATTTGACCAGAGAGGGACAGAGTGAGAGAGAGAGGGAAAGTGAGAAAGCAAGCCACCACGTCCGGGATTTGAACCATGGTCGATCATGTGGGAGTCCAGCACCTTTAACCACCATGCCACTTGTCAGTCCCTCTTCCTCAATATTTTTAATTATTGGACACATGCACCCACAAGAGGAAGAAAGACAAAGAGAGATAGAGCCTACCCCCAACGGGGTGTGGTCCCATAACAACCCTTTTTCTTCCATTTCTCTATCCTGTCAGGGTTTTTTTACACAAGTACTGGTATGTTTTCCTTCCTTCCTTCCTTCCTTCCTTTTATTTCTTTTATATTTTGCAGAGGTTTTTGCTATAGGGCACATGTGCTCACCAGAAAGACAGAGAGACAGAAAGTGAGATATCACCCCCTAGGGGGGATGGCTACGCTGCAATCACTTCTCCATTCTCCCCTCCGGGATCTTGGGCACGCACACACACGTGCCCGGTGTCAGTTTAAGCCACCGGATCTGGGACTGCGGTCGACTATGCGGGAGTCCAGCGACATAGCCATTACGCTAACTGCTGGTCCCTCTTTTTCTTTGAGAGGTTTTTGCTATAGGGCGAATGCACTTGCCAGAAAGACAGAGAGACAGAAAGCGAGAAATCAATCCCCAGGGGGTAGTTTGCTTGCTCAAGGGGCTAAGTGGTAGAGGTGGTGGTGGTGGTGAAGGTGCTGGATTCCCGCATGATCAACTGTGGTTTCAGTCCTGGACCTGGCAATTTGAAAACCACACTGTGCACGTGTGCATGCCCCAAATCCCAGGAGGAGAATGGAGAAGCGACTGTGGCACGGCCATCCCCCAGGGAGTGATAGCTCATCTTCCCTTTCTCTGTGGAGCATACATGCCCTGCAGCAAAAACATTAAAAAAAAAACTTGCTGGATGGTGAGCCTATGGCATTGTGGTTAGGATCGCTGGATCCCACATGGCTGACTGTGTGGTTTTGAGTCCTAGAACCAGCAGCATGAGAAACGCGCCGGGTGTGCGCGTGCGTGTGTATGCTCAAAATCCCAAAAGGAGTGAGACATGAAGAAGGAAGAGGCTTGGCTATTCCCCTTGGGGGTGCTTTCTCACTTTCTCTGGTGCACTCCGGCAAACTTAAAAAATAAATTAAAAAAAAAAAATAGTGCTGTCAGGTGGTGTGGTGGTTAAGGGCACTGGACTCCCACATGGCCGACCATGGGTCAAGTCCTGGACCTGGCAGCTTGCTTTCTCACTTTCCTTCTCTCTCTCTTGCTCTGTCCCTCTCTGGTCAAACTAAAATAAATAAGTAAATAAATACAGTTAAATAAAATAATCATTTTTTAAAAAAAGGCAGCAGCTTGCTCAAGTTTACACAGCTAGTAAGCTGAGATCCTGGTGGTCTGTCTCTAACCTACTCCACTGCCTAGAATACTCTGACTAGCAGACACTTGCGGTGGGGGAGTGTAGTTTGATCTGCATCCTAGACAGGGCCCAGTGCATCGTGAGGGTGTGGCCAATGAACAGGTGGACACGTGGGGCTCACGCATTCATTCACTAAGCATGTCCTGAAGCTGTCTGTGTGCCAGTCCCGTGCCGGGGATATTGGCGACACAGTGGGGGCTCTCACCTGGTAAGTGACAAGGTGTTAGAGTGCTAAGGACTCACTCCAGTGGGGGCAAGACTCTTTCTCTATTTGAAACAGTTTCAACAAATGTTTGTCTGCTCTCCCGTATCCCCACAATACAGAAAATTGGGAGAGCCAGGGGAAGCATCCCAGGGGACCACGGGTCTTTCTAGATGGTTCCTGTGAGTGATGGGGGGGAAGGACAGCATGAAGACACATCTCAAAATGCTGGAAGCCACCTGGGTGACCTCAGGCAAGCTTCCGATCCTCTTTAGGCCTCAGTTTCCACATCCGTAAGAGACCATGGCAGTGGACACGATCCCTGAGCTGAGGTCAGGATGGAGTTTTTTTGTTTTTGTTTTTTAAGATTTATTTATTTATTTACATTTGTTACTATTATTTTTAAATTTGACCAGAGAGAGGCAGAGAGAGAGAGAGAGAGAGAGTGAGCGAGCAAGCTGCCAGGTCCAGGACTTGAACTGTGGTCGGCCATGTGGGAATCCAGTGCCTTTAACCACCATACCACCTGCCAGCCCCTAGGGTGGAGTTCTTATGTCCTAGAAAACCTGGGCTCAAGCAGGAGGCCCCCTTGCCAGAGGACCTCCCCTATATGAAGCAGAGAAGGGGGCAGTTCCTTTCCTGGAGAGAAAATACAGACAACGGAATTACTGGCAATTTCTCAATTTCCTCCCAGCCCTTGAAGCTTTGGTGTTGGGGTGACCAGCCTCCAGCCTCGCAGTTGACGACGCGTCCTTCTGCACCCCCATGTGTCCCTCCCACTGTTTCGATCAGTCCCCTCATTTTCTGGAGAAACCCACTGTGCATTTCTGTCCAGCACATTTCTGCCCTGGGCTACTCCCCAGCTCAAGGCCTGCATTGGCTGCACTCGGTTTTCTGGAGATGAGACCCCTGTCTATAGGCCAGCCAACACCAAGGCTTCTCCTGTCCTAAACTACCAGCTGAGTTTCCTTTAAACAACTTTATTTTCCAATTGCTAGATGGTACGCGCACTCACCAGAGTGAGAGAGAGGACAGAGAGAGGGAGAAAGCACCTCCCACGGGGCATGGTCTTGCTGCCATCCTTTTTCCTCCATTCCTCCATCCTGTCGGGCTTTGGGGCATGCACACGCATGTGCCCTGTGTGTTTTGTAAGCCAGTGGGGTCAGAATTCGAACTGTGGCCAATCGTGTGTGATCCAGCTCCTAATACAGAGCTTGACCACTACACTGGGGGGCTGGCCCACCTGCCAGGTTTTCTAGACTCGGAAGGTGTTTCCAGACAGTGTGTTTCGGCATCCTTGTCTCCTGGGTATCTGGTGCCTGATGCAGGCAGTTTCCGGGGGACAGTTACTTGCTGTCTGCTGTGGTGGTTTCTCGTTCTGATCAGGGCCCACCATGTGCCTAGACCCGGGATGGCTGACAGCTTTTTCCCAGGCACCAGACCCGAATGACTGACAGCATCTGCTAAGGAGGCCTTGTGGAGGGTCGGATCCCCCTCCAGAGTCTGCGGGAAGGACGCTGTCATTGGTGAGTAACTGGGTGATGCCATCATAGGTGCAGAAAAGGGATGGGACGTGGTTTCTGCTGGGCTTCTGGGTGCTCTGGGGTGCTCTGGGTGGCCCTGTGGTATGTACAGGGTCTTTAAAAAGTTCATGGGAAGTATGTCTTGTGAAAAAGCTACAGAGATTTCAAAAAATTTTAGCACCAAAATATATTTGCGTTTTAACTGCATGTTCCCAGTGTGTTTCGGCATCCTTGTCTCCTGGTATCTGGTGCCTGATGCAGGCAGTTTCCGGGGGACAGTTACTTGCTGTCTGGGGTGGTGGTTTCTCGTTCTGATCAGGGCCCACCATGTGCCTAGACCCGGGATGGCTGACAGCTTTTTCCCAGGCACCAGACCCGAATGACTGACAGCATCTGCTAAGGAGGCCTTGTGGAGGGTCGGATCCCCCTCCAGAGTCTGCGGGAAGGACGCTGTCATTGGTGAGTAACTGGGTGATGCCATCATAGGTGCAGAAAAGGGATGGGACGTGGTTTCTGCTGGGCTTCTGGGTGCTCTGGGGTGCTCTGGGTGGCCCTGTGGTATGTACAGGGTCTTTAAAAAGTTCATGGGAAGTATGTCTTGTGAAAAAGCTACAGAGATTTCAAAAAATTTTAGCACCAAAATATATTTGCGTTTTAACTGCATGTTCCCACAGACTCCTTGAGGTCCCCTCCAATCCCCTGGCCTGCCCTGGCAGCTCACTGAGGTTTTCGGGGCACCTGCAATCTCATCTAGATCACAGGGAATGCTTTCTGGTTCTGTTTTCCAGACTTTCTGGCTCAACTTCAACTGGTCTAGATTGCTGAAAGCTACGGGCTGCCCAGCCAAACCCCTCCTCCCTGAGCCACCCAGCTCTGTCCTCACCAGGGGTCCAGGCTCGAACTGCAGGGCCACGTGCTGCAGGAGGGCCATGAGGTGGGCCGGGCGCCGCTTCACCTGCTCCAGGCTCTGGAACTGGCTGTTTTGCTCCTCTGCATTCTAGGGGCGGGGTGGGGGTTACAAGGGATAAGAGGGGTCTGTGCTTGCCTCTACCCTTCCCTGGTACTTCCCAGTGGGTCCAAGCCAGGGAAGACCCTGGGGAGTGGGGGGTGGTGACGGTGTATTCTAGGGCTATACTTGGTGACATAAGGGCAGGTGGTTGGGAGAAGGGGTGAGATGTAATCTGAGGACAGAAATCGTGGAGAAGGAACAGGGACCCTGGCTGTGGAGAGACCGGACAGTGATAACAACAGACCTTCCGAGTGAGAGTGAGGAGGGTGGAAGGTGGGAGTCTGGGCTGCCAAGGGGCCCTGAGGATTGGGTGGGGGGTGAGGCAGGACGATGAGAGAGCTGGACAGTAGGAGGAGGCAGAGGGCACTCCAGGTGCCTGGGACAGCGGCTCTTCCGCCCCATCTTGCTCACCGTCTCCAGCTCATTTTCAAAATCCTCGTCCTCGGCCCCGATGATGCTGACGGGCACCAAGCCAGGTCGCAGGGGCCCTGGGGCCTGTGGACGAGGAGGGACGAGGAGGGACGGCTTCAGCCCCCAGTGCTCCCGCCTCATGCCGGAGTCCCCGCTCCCCTCGCTCTCCACTCACCGCCCCTCTGGCGACGTCTTCCATCTCCATGGGCTCCGCAGGGCTGGGGAAGAGGAGGGGCCGGGTCAGGGGCGGCGGCCCAGGGCGGTTACTCACAGATTCCTGGCCCAGGTGTGAAGGTGAGTAAACAGCCTCCCCCAGCCGGCTCGCAGTTCAATGGGGCCTCTGTGTGGCGACAAAGAGCCCTTCAGAGGCCAGCCAGGGGGCGGGGAGCCCAAGGATGGAAGCCCGGGGGCGGGGGCTGGAGGCTGGGAGCCTGGGTCCACCGGGCCCTGGGGCTGACCGCCTGCAGTTCTGGGTCCCCACTGGACTCTGGCAGCCGTGGCAGGGGGGGGGGGGCGCG